CCCCAGTCTCTTCAACTGTTTCTGATGATCCCCGGCCCTTTCACCATCCTCGTGGTTTCCTCAGGATATCCTTCCATTTGTCCGTGCCCTTCCTAAAACACCAGAATGGAGCCCGATATTCCAGTTGTGGGCTTATCAGGTAGGAAGACAGTGGGACTGTAGTAGGTATTTTGCCATCCCCTGCTCACGCCCTTTGCTTCTCAATACAACCTTAGTTCTGCATTAACTTTTTTTTTTTGAGTGATGAGAGCTCAACAAGGAAATAAGGTTAAATTCTGGGTCTCAAAAATATCTAGCAAAGAAAACATCTTGAGAAGTCTTCTCCTATCCAGGTAGCTGATGCCCCATTGGGACTGAGGCTCCCGCAGACTTAGACCATACCTTCCTTTGCTGAATGGTTGTGCAGTGATGCTCGTCAGCTCCAGGAGTGGCAGCTGAACAGAGTACTGGGCCTGGAGAGAAGACCAAATTCAGCCTCAGACACTGTGTGACCTAGGCCATGGCACTTCACCTTTGTCTGCCACACTTTCCTCATCTGTAAAATGGGGATAATAATAGCACCTACCTCCCAGGATTGTTGTAAGAATCAAGTGAGAGGATATTTAATAATAGCAAATATTTACTTGGTGCTTACCATGTTCCAGATACTGTGATACACACTTCACAATTATTTGTAAAGATTGCTTAATGCAGTGCCAGGCACACAGTGTTCAGTTGTCTTCAGTCATTTTTCAGTCATGTCTGACTCTCTGTGACCTCATGTGGGGTTTTCTTGGCAGAGATACTGGAGTGGTTGGCCATTTCTTTCTTCAGCTCATTTTACAGATGAGGAAACTGAGGCAAACAGGGTTAAGTGACTTACCCAGAGTCACACAGCTAGTACGTGTTTAGGGTCAGATATGAACTCAGGAAGATGAGTTTTCCTGACCCCAGGACAAGTGCTCTATCCACTGTGCCACCTAGCTGCCCTGACTGGCACATAATAGGTATTGCATAAATGTTTACTCCCTTCCCGACTTCCCCTCCAGGAGGTATGGGGTGGTATATTGTTGGGGATTATCTAGTCCATTTGACAAATGGGGACATTGAAGCCCAAAGGTACTGAGTGATTTATACATCTACGCAGTGAGTTAGTGTCAAAGTTATGACTTGAGTCCATTTCTCCCAATTCCTGATGCAGTGCACTTAGCATCACACCCTATTTCCTTTCTGTAGTGGATAATGAGCTGGCCTTCAAGCCAGAAAGACCTGGGTTCAAGTCCTGCCTCTGATACATACTGGTTGTGCGACCCTTAATTCTTAGTGCCCAGGCAACTCTCTTAAGACTATAAATGCCAACCTGCATTGGTAGAGGGACTGCCCTCACCTGGGAGTTCCTTACACTAATGAAATCTTGGGTCTGGTCTGCAAAGAAAGGAAGTGACTAATATGTGAAGGAAAATTTGTTTCCAGACCTGACTCCACCATTCACCAGCAGTCTTTGGGAAACCTGTCTCTAAGCTTTATTTTCTGATTCTGTACCAATACAATCACAGGTCCAGACCCCATCCCTATGAAGGAAGCTGAAGAGCAACCATAGAGTGTTGGTTGGAGAGCCCTCCTCTGGGTCAGGAAGGCCTGGTTCAAGTGTCACCTCAGATACATATTGATATTGCCTTGACCCCAGGCTAGTCATTTAACCCTTAGTATTCCAAAGAGTTCTCTAGTTTTTGATAGTAAATTTTATTGTCATCTCTTGTTTTTAAATCACCTAAAATTTTCCCTTATCTCTCCCATCCCTCCTCACAGAGAGCCATCCAATATCAGATTTTTAAGTCTCAGAACTGATTCTGAATTGCAGTGGGTGGTGAGCTCAAGAGGTCCTCACCAGGGGCTCCCTTCAGGAAATCATCTATGTAACTGACAGGTGAAGGATGATCTGGGTTCCAGTGCTGCCATGCACTAGCACTTTCAAAAGCTGGTCACCCTTTCCCTAAGGCTTAGTTCCACTTCTGTAAAAGAGTGGGGGGAGAATAATGATTCTCCCTACCCATGTTGTAAGGTCATTGTGAGGGTCAGATGAGAAAGTGAGTATGAAAAGTACCTCTGGATATGGTAAGATCAGAAGTCTGGCTGGCTCAGGATGCTTTCTTGACAAGTGGTTGGTTTCGGTGGCCTGGTGTCCATCAGCCACATCAGGAGTCACGGTGACTATTGGAGCTTTAGAGATGGAAGACACTTTCAGGAAGATCACTTGGTCCAGTCCTCTCATTTTATAGAGGGAGGAAACTAATCCAGGCAGGTTAAGCGATTTGTATAGGATCACCCAGACAGCAAAGAGACGATACTGTTGTTTTACAGATGGACCTGTCTGTCAGGGAGGGGGAGCCCCTTGGTGAGGCTGGCATCCCATTCTCAGATATCATTGTCCTTCCCTTGACAGGAAGCCAATGATCTCTGGCCAGGCTTAAATATTGGTACACGATTCTTGTATGTCTTCAATCTTCAGGCTCTTCAGAGTGAGTCATTAGTCAGGGCTGGGTTGGGCTGTCCGGTGCCCCAACTCCTCCCTTCAGCTCCTTGGAGTGTTGTACTAAGTTCCAGGTGGGTTTAAGAAGGATATTGGTAAGATGAAGAATATTTAGAGTAGGGCAGCCAAGATGGGGAAGGGCCTTAAGTCTGTGTCATGAGAGAGACAGACAGACGGATAGACAGACAGACAGACAGGAGAGAGAGAGAGAGAGAGAGAGAGAGAGAGAGAGAGAGAGAGAGAGAGAGAGAGAGAGAGAGAGATTGAGAGAGCATGAACCCTGCCCTCTATATGTGTATATGCAAGCAGATACTATCAGGCTTTTCTTTGGAGTGAGGGTTACCCCCTCTCTCCACTAAGCTCCTATACACCTTAGTACAGCTGCCCTCATATAAATTGTATACCCCAGATTTCAGTAGCTCGGTGACATTATCAACATCTACATAAGTAGAATCTTCCAGCAACACTGGTTCTTTGTTCACTACATTCCTTCTCCTGCCTGGGGTGCTCTCTCCCACCATACCTCAACCTCCTTCAGAATTTAGCTTGAGCCCATTCTGCAGGAAGCTTTTCCTAGTCCTCCCCAGCTACTAGTGCTGTCTCCTCTAGGGTTACTGTGGTTACAGTTCGTCTAGATTTTGTACAGGTTGGTTCCCCTAGGAGAACATAAGCTCCTTGAGGACAGGCATGATTTATTTCCCTTTTGTCTTTGAATTCCCAGCACTTAGTTCAGCAGCTGGCACAAAGGGCTTGCTCACTTATAATAAATGCTCATTGATTGACTGCATAGGATTCTACAGTGAGTCAGTAGCAGAGCTAGGCCACGGGTCCTTTGCCTCTTGGGCCGTGGGTCTTCGTGGAACAGATGGGACTGGAGCTGAGCCTCAGTGACAGGGTGAGGCAGAGGCAAGTATCCTTGTAGCCTCACCCGCTGTGCTCTGCACTGACGGCTATTCATGTACCTTTTATACTACCACAGGAGGTGGAAGTGTCAGTAATTGGGCATGAGGATGGGAGATGGGTGTTTGAGGGGAGCAGGGCTATTTCCTGTCTGGTGCTTAAGGCTTCCTCTGGCTGACTCACTGATCCTTAGCTGGGCCCTGCAAGCAGTGAACGTGATCAGGTGGGAGCCAGAGCTCGCCCCTTCTCAGAGGTACTGGTCCCCCTGTTTTCCCAGTAGCACCTGCCTCTGGATCCAGCTGGGCGGCCCAGAAGGCCTGAGAAAAGGCCAAGTTAGGCCTCTGTGTCCGTTTTCCTCTCTTGTTTCTGTCTCTCCCTCTGTCGTTTTCTCTCTGTCTCCCTCTCTCCTCCTTCCTGCCTTGGGGTACCTTTGGCTCTGTGTGCCCATGTGCCTTCTAGAGTCTGGCACATTTCTTCATCTCTGTGTGGCTCTGTCCAGCTCTGTGCTTATCATTCACCCACCTCGGGTATCTCTCTCCATCTCTGTGTCTGTTGTCTGTCTGCTTGTTTCTCAAACATCTCTACAGGCACAGACTCTCCATTGTTGTCTCCCTCCAGCTCTGTTTTGCTGTCCATGCACCCCGAGTGTCTGTCTGCCTCTGGTTATCTGCGTTTCCCATCTCTTTCTGGCCTTGGGTCTGTGGTCCATCTGCCTTTGTGTGTCTTTGCTTCTGGGTTTCCCCCATCCTTGTCCTTTCCTGTTTGTCAGAAGCTTCAAAGGACAAGAGTGATGCTGCACTAGCCCTACAGACAGGGCTTCTGTCCCTCCCCTCAGCCCCCGTGAAGGGCACCTCGCCAGAGGAGCCCCCGTCCTGGGGCTTCGGGGGTCTGGGCTCAGCTCTGCCTCTCTCCTCTTGTGCGTGGGGGTTGGTCGTGGTTCTCATTGCCCTGCTTCATCCTGGCTTGCTGAGAGTGAGGGGGCCAGGAGCTGTCAATGAGTCACCCACATGCTATTCTCTACCGCTAGGCTCTTAGTAATGTAATTGGAGTGTCCCAGTTCTTCCTCTCCCTGCTTCCCTCTGTGCTTCCTCTTCTTCCAATTCCTCTTCCAAACTTTTCCTCCCCTAGTTTCCTTTTCCTGGTTTTTCTCCTCCCTGCCCCCCTTTTTTCCCTCCTCGTCTGGGTACAAGGGCAGCTGGCCAGCCCGAGAAGTGGGTTTCAAACAGCTGGAGAAGGAGACCTGCCTAGGCAGGGGCATAAACATCAGCCTCCCCTCCTGCCCTCGGGCCCTGCACCACTCTCCTAGGGGCGTCTGGAGCATAGCCCTGAATAGCTGGCTAGATACGAGGTGCTAGGGCCCTGAATTCACTGGCCAGCTCCTTGGCTGGATGCTGCATATATTTGTATCTTCTCAGCAGTTGTGTGTGCATGTGCTGTTTGGCATGTGGCTCCGTGTGTCCGGTTTGCAGATTGTTGCCTGTGTGGTGATGCATTTGTGAAGATTTCAGTGCTTTCGTGTTTTCGCCTGCTTGGCTGGGAGCAGGCTATACTTGAATGACCCATGTCTATCTGCCTTCTTGCTCCCCTGCAGTGACATCTGTGAGGTGGCTGTGCCTCCTGCAAAGGAGGTGCCCTTGGGCAGTGGAACTTTGGACAACAGCTGGGACAGGCCTTCGAACTACAGGTCAATTTGAGAGCTGCCTCTGGAGGCCCTCAGCCTTGTTATTCAGGGGCCCTTCTGCATTAAGGTTCGTACGTGGCGGGGAGAGCAGCCACATTCAGTGTGACCCTAGAGAACACAACTAAGGCTAGGGGGGAGGTAGGGTGGAAAGAGACACGGAGGCCGATTTAGTCCAATGTATAGAAAAGCACTGAACGGCAAGTCTTTCATTAATACAAAGAGTCAGCAGCAGAGGTAGTGAGCCCATGGCAGTAAAGATCTGCAAACAGAGATGATAGGCCCTCTTATCAGGAGCCTTAGACCTGCCCCATAGTAGGTGGACCTGGTATGTTTGTGGAATTAAATGGAAGCATCTGAAGGGCTGCTAGGTGAATAGGGATGGGGCTCGTATTGCCTGGTCCCAGTTGACAGAGCTAGGACCAAAATGAGGAGAGTTACAGAGAAGAAGATTAAGGTTCATTATTAAAAAAAACTCAATAAAGGTTAGAGCTGTCGCAATGCTGGAATAGGGTGTATAAGAAGGTAATGAGTTCCCTGTCAGTGCAATTCAGGTGGAGGCCAAATGGAAGACCTCTCAATTGGGATGTTGTAAAGTGGATTCTTGCCCTGGTGTGGGTTGGACTGAATTCCCTTTCAGGTCTAAAAATGTTACTCTGTGGCCTTTGAGTTCCCTTTCATGGCTGATGACATCCTGTGGTTACAGAGGCCTTCTCCTCTGGTAGAAAGAAAATTATATTTGAAGGTGGAAGATCAGCTCTGGCATTTATTGCAACACAGCTTTGTGACCTTGAGTGAGTCAGTCTCTGTAGATTAGAAAAATGGGAGCAGAGAGGATGATGCTAGTGCCTGGGAGTTTTCTTTTCTTTTTTTTAATTGATTTATTTGTGCCAGTGATTTTTCAAAGCATCTCAGTTTCCTCCTTCAAAAGATGAAGGGATTGTTACTTAAACAGCTAGGTGGCTCTGGGGTAGAGTGATGGACCTGAATACAAATCTGGCTTCACACATTTCCTGGCTGTGTGACTCTGGGTAAGTCACTTTACCACTTTCTGCCTCAGTTTCCTCATTTATAAAATGGAAATAGTAACAGCACCTGCCTCTCAGGGTAGTGGTAAGATCAAATGAGATAATATTTGTAAACTGCTTAGCACAGTGCCTGGCATATAGTAGGTGCTTAATAAATGCTTGTTCCCTCCCCACTTCAACTGATTTTGGCAAGCCCCTTCCACCTGTGGCATTCTCTGTCCTAAGGTTCCTTCTTCATCTATCTCTGACATTTGGTGAGTGATGAGATGGTCCATCCAGCCTTCAGATTAATGGCAGGGAAGGGGATTGATGAGGACTGTTTTAGAGATGTGGCCCCTAAACTTCTCTCCTGGGGCTCTAGCCTCAGGCCTTCTGACAGTGTCTACACTTGCTTACAGGTGGAAGGACTCCTGTTTTGGGTCAGAGCGAGTTCTGAGGAGCTGTTCCCATAACTAGTCTCCCTGGGACTGAGATAAGGCAGCTGTGTGTGTGGCTTTGCAAATACACACATAGCAGGAATGCTGTTAACCTTGTGTTGATATATAGCTTTATACTTTTATCTTAGCAGTAGTCCTGTGGGAGAGAGAGTAAGAGGAAGGGAAGAAACTAAGGCCCGGAGACTTAGTAATAGACTTAGTAATAATTTGCATCCCTCTAGCTCTTTGAGATTACAAAATGCTTTTTCCAGCAGCCCTGTGGGGTAGGTAATTTAAGTGCTGTCATTGCCGTTTTACAGACGGGCTGGGGATGCTGAGTTCCAGAGAGATAAGTTGACCTGCTTAAGGTCATCATGCATGAAGGAAGTTGCTAGAGAAAGGATTGGAACTCAGGTCTTGTGACCACGCCCTTTCTGCTGCAGTGTGACACCTTTCTAATTTTATAATCTTAGAGCTTGCAGGAGACTTAAAGAATACTTGGTTCTTGTTTTACAGGAGAGAGCTGGGGAGAACATTTCCTTCTGATCCCACAGAGAACAATTCATAAAACTCCATCTAGAACCCAGTTCTCCCAGCATTTTTTGCAGAGTGCCTGGCATGCCATAGGTGCTTAATTAATGCTTGTTGGCAGATTGAATGTTTTTTTTGGGGGGAAGAGTGTGGGGGTTAGCTTAGTAATTAGGAAAATGCCACAGATGTAATACAGTATACTTGGATTTCAGTAAAGCATTTGACAAAGTCTCTTAACCACATGACTGTGGATCAGATAGCAGGAGTGGGCTAGATACAGCATGATTAGGTGGATTGTGAGCTCCTTGAGGGCAGGGACTGGGTTTGCCTTTTTTTTTGTCTCTTTTTGTGTCCCTAGTACTTAGCACAATACCTGGAATGCAGTGGGCCCTAGGTAAATGTTGGTTAGTTGGTTGATTGGATCCAGATCTAGGTCACTGACCAGTTCTGAAGAGGAATTTTTAATGGGTGGTTGATGTGTTAGAGGGACATCTCTGGTGGGATGCCTTAGGGAGTTTATTGTCAGCCTTGGACTGCTTTTCTAAAATGTCTTTGGCTGTGTTCCTCAAAGGAAATCTTAAAGGTTGAAAGTGGGGGGTGAGGGGTGTGTGTGTGTGTGTGTGTGTGTGTGTGTGTGTGTGTGTGTGTGTGTGATGTGGACAGTGAGGAAGTAACTTACCTAAGGTCACACAGCAAATTATTGGCAGAGTCTCTACTTTTGTATTATTTTGTCCCTATATAAGTACCAGCCCATTGTACTTATGAGCACAAGGTGCTCTTATTAACTCTTTTACAGTTGAGGAAACTGAGGTAGACTTGCCCAGGGCCACACAACTCATATCTCTGAGGCTGGATTTGAACTTGGGTCTTTCATAGTCCAGACCCCTCTGTTGTACCACATAGTTGCCTACTCTGTTCACCTAAATGGACCACCAAAACTGTTTTCTGAGCAAAGAGACTGTTGTTGTTAACTGTTGTTCACTGCTGTTGGTGAGCAGTTCTCGTTTTGGACTGCCCGAACCTTCCTCATTTCTTCCTCCCAAAATAGTGGAAATGAAAGAAAGTGGGGAGGGAGGGGAAAAGTTTTACTAATTAAGAGCTGATTGTACTTGGGAGCCCAGTGTTTTTCTAAGCATTCTGAAAGTGCTAGAGGCTAGGTTGTGGTGGCAGGATGGCTTAATCTTGGTGTGGGGAAGATATGTCTACAAGAACATAAACTGGGCCTCAGTTTCCCAGTCTGTGAAATTGAGAGGGTTGAATTAGTCTATGTGTGGTCTCTTTCAGTTCTGTCATTCTCTGTTCTATGTTCTAAGGCCCCTCCTAGCTCTGACAGTCTGTGTTTTAAGGCCCCTCCCAGCTCTGACAGTTTGTGTTCTAAGGCCCCTCCCGCTCTGAAATTATCTTTTCTATATTTCAAGACCACTGAAAGTTCTAGCCTATGTTCTGCATTCTAACTCCTCTCTCGTTTTATTTCCCATAATTTGATGTCCTTTTCAACATTGGCATTGTTTTCAGGTTCCTCCCAGTTTTGCTATTCTGTGTCATATTTTAATATCCTTTTCAGCTGTACTGTTTTATGTCCTAAGGGTTTTCTCATTTGGATAAGTACAGTCCCTCCTTTTTTTATATAGATAAAGGAACTAAGGCCCAGAGAGGGAAAGGGACAAGGAAAGAACCCATGTCTCCTGATCTCCAAAGCTCTTGCTCTCTGATTGACTGATGGAAATACTGACTGATGGGCAATGGAGAAATGGGCTAGGTCCCTTTAAAAGGCCAGGGCTCAGAATCTGGCATTTAGAGTTCATGGAGAGGAGAGGAAGAACTGGGATTGGATAAACATGCCACTCTTCTCCCCTGGCTTTTTACAAGCCCTGTGGGGCGGATGGGCAGTCCTCACATGCTTATTGGCCTTTCAAAATTGAAACAGATTTTTTCCAGAGAGGCCTTTTTCCAGATAGGTCCTGCCTTGTTACCCTCCCCAGGCCTCAGACATCTGGTCTGTGGGTGTTTGGGACTGTTGTTTTTAAAAGAAAAAACCCTGCTTGGAAGAAGACCCAGCCCTATTCCCAGGACCCAGGGAATGTGGGCCATTGATGGATGGCTTCATTAATCCATTATTTAGCAATTATTGTTAAATAAGCCCCTTGATGTGCTAGTCTAGTCCTGGATTCCCCCCACCCCCCAGCCCCCACTAGCTATGTGCCAGTGGGCAACTCCCTTCATCCTTCTGAGACTTAGTTTCCTTTCCTGTAAAAGGGGGTTAATTATCTTTAGGCTCCCTGCTTCATAGGGTTTGGTGAAGAAAATGCTTTGTAAACCTTAACACTGGAGTTTTGCATTCCCTTCCTCACAAGGCTGTTGGGAGAAAGATACCTTTCAAATGTATTATATAGGTGAATGGATAAGTGGGTGCATGGATGGATGGTTAGATAGATAGATAGACAGATGGATAGATAGGTAAATAGGTAGGCAGGTAAGTAGGTAAGTAGATGTATGACTGGATAGATAGGTGGATGGATGGATGGATGGGTGGATGGATGGATGGATGGATGGATGGATGGATGGATGGATGGATAGGTAGATAGATACGTAAATATATAGATGGTCAGATTGTTGGATAAATGGATCATTGGATGGATAAACAGATGGATAGATAGATCATTGGATGGATGGATAGATAGGTGGGTAGTTAGGCAGATAGACAAATAGAGTATTTATTAAATTCTTACTGTATGCCAGGCATTGTTACAAATACAAGCAAGCTAGTCAGTCTTTTCCCTCAGGAGCTTCCATTCTTGTGTGAGAAGATAACATATGGGGTGGGGAGAGGGAGTTGTATGCCTTGTATGGAGATATCTGGGATGGTTCTGAGCAAAAAGCTCATGTCATGGGGCCTAGAGAGTTTCAGAGGCAGAATCCAGGGGAGAAGATGGGTAAAGTTTGGAACTAGTGACCAGGAAGTGACTAGTCAGCTTACACCTCTGAACCTCACGTACTTCCCCTTGTAAGATAGGGATAATGATTTCTGTGGCCTCCACCCCACAGAGTTGGAAGGGTAGTGCTTTGTAAGTCTTAAAGCACCAGAGAAATGCGAG